TTCTAAGAGTATTTTGTTGTTGTAATTGTTGTAATTCTCTATAGAACATTTAGTGTTTGAATTTTTGCTGAATGCCCCAATAGGTGCTTGACAAGGTTTTAAGATTTCTCATTTGGTGTTTTAAGTGCAGCCCTTCGACTTCATTATGAACTTTTATGTACATTGCTAGACAAGAAGAATCACATTTACCATTCCTTTCCTACGTTCCCACTAGTCATATTTAAGCAGAAACAACCAGTCAGCATGATGCCTCTTTCCTAATCTGTAGCTATTTATCCATAATATTTTGTTAACACTGAAAATTACTTCATTTTATATAAAGTTCTTTCTGGGAAGTGGTGCTTAACACACTTACTTTACCCTTATACGTAACTTCAACATGGAATAAATACCATGTAGTATCACAGTGGAGTAGAAATATTTAAAATCCTTCAGGTAGAAGGACAACAAAACAAAACATTACAAGTATTGTATTGTCTCTTTCTGTTCCTCTTTTGAAGGCAACAGTAACCAGTGTCTTAGAATACTTGGTAATCTGGTTTGGAGAGAAAAAATTTACTCCAGAACTGGTAATTTTTAATTTATTTTAACTACTTTCACATTAATGCATTAAACAAAGCATAAATTGTTTATAGTTTTCTATCAGATTATTTTAATTTCTAAAGAGTTCTTTAGATGGATGTGTCATATTGTTAAATTCAAAGCTTTCTTGATTAGATATTAAAATAAGTATTCACAGAACTTGTTGGAAGACTGATTACAAAACGTAACAGATACAGACCTAACAAGTATTGCCAAAACCCCTCCCCTTTTTATCACTCCCCAAACTAACTTAAGCCACAAGGCTTGATGATTATCGATGTTGGGGAGAGCAGAGGGTCAGAGAGCAGCAGCTTTGGTTCTGATCAGTTTAAGGTGCCAGGGCACTGCACATTGTATTTACCAACACTTCCATTTTAGTTTGGAGGTGATTGACAGTGTGCTGGCAAAGACACATTTAGTCTTTCCATGTGCAGCACAGACCAGAAAGCTTAGCTGCATTAGTGTAGTGATAAACCAAACCTAAGAAATCCTGGTGGACGGGGTACATTGGCACAAAAGTTGGCCACACCTAGACTGACCACCTATGTAATGGCACTGTATCTACAAAACACCTCATATCCTTCAGTACCACAAAGTGACAGAGTCATGGAAAATTACTTCCATGACACAGTTTCACTATTTTTGAGTCACTAAAGCCTTTCATGTTCTTTCCTTTTCTGTATTAACTCTGTATTAATTCTGTATTAATTTATATTTTGGCCAACATTCAAAAACTACCAGGAAACCCAGGAGTACTGCTCACAGTCTAGAGGCACAAAACTCTCTACTGTTTAGTATCTAATTTGGTCTTCAAAATTCAATTATGGCATGTAGCATTAAATGCAATTTTGTTTTGAGACTTACACTCCAGTCCTACTCTGTATAACAATAACAGCTTGAATATTCAAGGAAATGCTTATAATCAAAACTTTGTTACTTGAATCCTCACAGGGTAGATGGCTTTACGCACTGTTGGCATGCCTTGAAAAACCTTTGCTACCTGAAGCTCACTCCCTTATTCGACAGCTGGCCAGACGATGTTCAGAAGTCAGGGTACTAGAGGTAAGATTTAATATAACATTGTGCAAAGGACTTGGTGAATTTAGCAGATTAAGAGGATTATTTTTCAATTCTTGAAGTCTTGGTAATTAACTTTTGATGTCCTAAGTTTGCTTGAGAATGAAGGGAAGACTACAAATACACACAACACGGCATGTAACAGCTTTTCTATTTGACATAGACAACAAAATAACTGTTCTGATATTTACCTCTTTTTCAGGAGAGCAAGAATGAAGAACAAATATCAGCTCTGAACTTGATAATCTGCTTAGTTAGCAGGTAATGCAACTTACACATCTAAAACAGTAATGCATGTCCAGCATAAATGCACCTAAAACAGTAACATATGTCCAGCATAAATACACCTAAAACAGTAACATATGTCCAGCATAAATGTGTGATTACTTGTCCTAACCTATATTCTTTTAAAAATGGAAGTACACTGAGCCAATATAGCAAATATATTTAGTTAAAATGACTTAAGATAAACCTAAGAGTAAAGTAAGCTTATTGCTTTCCTCAGATGAGCCGCCTGAACCACAAAGCTGTAATTATGATAGAAACACTAAAAGAAGAGCTAGAAAGCAAGGGATCTAACAACTCAAAGTATGAAGTACATTGCCTTAGAGGTTTTTTACCATATTCCACTTCATTCCACTAGGTACTTCGATCAACGTGACCTGGCTGATGAGCCTTCCTAGGCCGTTTTGAGAATATCCAGTATTCTGCATTGCCATAGTACGAACAGCATTATCGGAGTTAACAGCAAGACACTGCACTGTTCAGACCCAAAGTACTATACAGTCCCTTCAGAATACCCTCACCCTAATGTATTTGGGACAGCTATGAGTACCTTAAGCTGAACTTCAGCATGAAATTGTCAACGCCTCTGATACCATCATCGCCATCATCGTAAAATGGTAAATTAAGTGTCTGGCATCATCTCTGAAGCTCCTGTAAACTACATTCTTGGTTAGAAATTTCTACCATCTGAGTAATCCTATGAACACTGCTATTAGGTGAAGTCTGAGGTTACGTTACAAATGATTGTTCTTTTTCTAACACACCTATTGAGGACTTTTTTTAATAAAAGGATTTTAAAGTTTGTCAACATTGTGGGTTTTCTCAGTCAATACGATTTAACAGCAGCCCTACTATAGAAATTTACACAGCTAGGGTTGAAGGTACCTTTTCAAGTTGTGGTGCCTGAGCTTAATTAAGCACTGCTAAGCAGTTCAACTATATCCAGTAGGTTACTGAAACAATTGTTTTAGCAAAATGTAAATATTACTACTTCCCAAGTAGTAATACTATTTTTAGTAAACAGTTGCAGAAACCAGAGAAAATTACACATCTGTATTCAATGCTTTTAACAGAAGCATTTATTAACAGAATCAACAAATTTATTTTCTGTATGGTTATCTTGACAAATACTTCACCTCACTTATTTACATATATATTTAACATGGAGTGTTTGCCAAGAGGGTCAGCATCTGCTTGGTACATACATAACTCCCTCTGGTTATAACTGTCTTCACCAATTAAAAATCCATTTTAAAGGAACTATGAATTCAGGTCATAGCAACCAATTGATATAATATTAAATGACTTTATGTGTATTGTGGAATTTAAGTCCCTCCCCTTGCTACTAAAAATAATCATTGGCCATAACCAGTTATTGATACATATTCAAAATGTCTTTGAATGATTGGCATTCTTGCATCTGGAATGGTAGTCTTGACTGTCAACTGAAAAATCAAAATTAATTGCAATAACTACCAGAGTGTTAATTCTTGAGATGCAAGTAACAGATTCTGTACGTGATAATGCCATGATGATCCCCAATGCAGATGCTTAAGTATGATGACATTGAAATGTCCATCTATTAGACATACAGCACAAATTATTTCTAGTCTCTTCATAGTAACATTTTCAGCATGTTGAAAGCAGAATGAGTTGGCAACTGAATAACCCAGGTAATGCAAGAATACAAGTTAGCTAATTCTTCACTCCAACAACTCCAAACAAATCTATCAACAGGAACAACAACCACCACCTTCCTCTAAATTACCAGTGTAAGAACTCAGTGTTTTCAATCAAACTGCAAATCACCACTGAGCAGCATACTACTGTAGTTATTTTCACCTCTGCTAGTGTTATAAAAAGTGGGACAGCATTCTCCTGGATCAAATTCTGCTCTATATGTTTCCAAGAACTGTTAAGTTACTCAGTTATAGCTAATTTGAACTAGCATTCACAGTACCTGAAAAAAGGAGAACTTGGTCACATCTTCAGCTCGAGTATAATAAATCCCTGGTTATCACATTTATAGCCTCTAGCTTGCCAGCTTGTGACAGCTTTCTAGAAAAGTCTTGATCCATTATAAGCTTCAGACCTTTCCTAGAACTTAGGGAAGAACAGTTTCCACTGTTCTTGCCCACTGTGCAACTGTACAATGAACATTTCTGCCAAGACAGAAGGTAGTTGTGTATCAAAGGTGCCATGTGAGCTTTTCTAATTAGCCTGTTATTTACTGGCCTCAAAACCAGAAACTGAATCATTCTCACACTTCTGAATAAACAGTTTCTATTGTGATGAATTTCAAGGTAAGTATAAGGCCTGAACCTGCCAACAGAAAAGTCTTACAGCAAAATTCATTAGAAGTTTTAACAAGATATTTTCATGCTTACCTACAGCAAGATATGTATTGTTATGCAAATCTTGCAACAAGTATCTAGCAAACCCCAGTGTCCTCAAGAGTCTTGGAGATATCTTCATAGCTTCTTTCAGGCCTAATCATCTTCCTGCACACACTCATTACAGAAGTGATCCATAGCTAGCAATTAAAAACAAGTACATTAATACCAAGTTTATGCACAACAAGCTAGAACAATTTTCCTTCTTGGCCAGTATAGATAACCTCAGGTGTAAAATCATTCTGACACAAAAAACAGGTGCTAATTTTAGGGAGGTAGGAGAAACTGTTTAACTGCAGAGAAGTAAGTTCTTGTTTCTACTGCATCATACCTACGTTCCTACATGCCACATGCCCTATTCCTACACGTGCTAATGGCTCCCTCAAAGAAATACAAATGCAATCTCCACTGCCTCACAGTTCAGAGTGAACAGGGAAAGACAGCAGTTGGGCATTCACATTAGGTGACACAACACACATTAGTTTCTTATTCCAGTTTCATCTCGGTCAGGCTTTTACTCAGTTCTCAAACAATGCCTCTGGTCTTCCAGATGTGCTCTTTTGGTAATTGAAATATTTTGCTGAAAACTTTTGGGTACACAGTTTTTACCATGTGGATATTAATACCTTCAAATAGAATAAATTTCATACCAAGACACAAGGATAGTGTTATTTCGATTGACATTTATTACATATTTTGGAATTGTGCTGCACACTGCTATAATTTACAAGTTATATACAAGACTGAGCCAAGATACTGAATCCATACACAAAGGATTTTTTAAGGTAGATACCCAGATTTGAATGTGCTCTACATCTTCTGTATCATCACCTGAAATTTACCTGAAAAAAAAGCAAAGTCAGATCACATTATTACTATCAGAGTTATTTCTCCAAGTAACTGTTTTCTTGTATTATTTTTTTTAAAAAGAAATAGTAAGGAACAGTCCAATCTTACAGTTTAATTGTAAGCAATTGTGCCATTACTTCAATTTAGCATTTAAATTTTAACTCCAGCTGAAGAGCTTTTTCTTTCTTTTCTTTTTCCCTGTAAGTTGATCCATTCCCACATCACAGAAGTTAGGTCAGCCAAATTTAGAATTTGTGCAAAGTCTGTGGAAAATTTTTAATCGAGCAGCTTAGGTAGTTACAACGGACTTGACTTACTAACTTTCTTAATGACTCCTGTAGAGAAAGATCTTTGTTTACTCAAATAGCTTTCTGGACATACATCCTTATGCATTTGATCCTTCCAAATACAACCTTTTAGTTTTGCTTTCCACTCAACATGATGGCGGTTTATCCTCTGTTAGTATTTTCTAAATACCAAAGCCTTTAGTGGAAAGCCATATCCTGAAGTCCACATGGATTTCTATAGCCCAGCAGCTTCAAACTAATCCCACACTGATAAATGCTTATACAGTGATGAAATCAGCCAGGACAGTTACAAAGCGAAGTAGTAACTGAATACTCCAAGAACTACTTACATGCAGGCATTGATGAAACTTCAGCTGTTACAATACTCTTTATTCCCAAATTCGATAGGCCTCCTCGGATTAGTCCACAGGTAAAAGCTAAATACTAAATACAAAGTTGCCTTTAAATAAGTGTCAAGGCTGAAGCTTGTTGATAAAGATTGAAACTAAGTACTCAAGCACAAGACTTAATACTTGGACAATAGAAAGTTTTATTATGGTGCTTGAGAGACTCTGTCAGGTCTCTAATGGACGACAGCTCCAGTATATGGTACAGCAGAGCTCACAACGCAGATTGCTCTTGTTAGGGGCACTATTCCTGTTTCTAATTCCATTAAACCTTTAGGAATTTAATATCCTTAGAACAATATTCCTAAAACTTGGCTGAAATTAGCAACTGGTATTAAAGTCAATAAAGGAGGAATGGTCCAAGACAGAATTTTGGCACAGGCCACATCGTGGGATACAAAGGCCTGCAGATACTTAAAATGTATGTTGCAAAACAAAAGAAACATCTCACCAAACACTAAAAACAAAAAAATCCCAAGGACAGTAGCCAGCAATAAGATGATCAAGAATTAAGAAACCATAAAATGGAACTGAATGTCCCATTTCTTACATCCACCTGAAGCAAAGTGCTTTAAAGCAGATTCTGCAGAGGCATTGATTTTACTTACATGAACTATTACCCTAACTCAGCATCTTCAATCAGAACTGTTTTTAACTCGTGAAAGATCTTTTTGAACATTCCTATCAGCTCATCTCAGAAGCTTGTTCTCAGTAACAAATAATATCTTCCAAATTTTTTTTTGGACATTTTAAAAAAGCTTCTGAAAGCTCATGCTTTCCAAAGAGAATTTGTGTGACAGCAGCAGATAGTGGCGGATAACTGAAACGTAACAGCAGTAAGTTTTTCAACGACCGTGTTTCTTGCACCATAAATCGAATCCGCTGTTCCAAAACAAGGTGCATTTCTAAAAAGTACACAGGTTCTGAAAACTCATCTTCAGCTGCCCTTTTGAAGAGTTTGTATCCATTCAATTACAAAATTTAAGTGTTATTATTAATAGATCAAGGTAACTCAAATCAAACTGGTAGACCCCACATACAATACTGAAGGGTACCTTTGGTGCATGTTCTAAATACTGCTTTCCTGCAGACATTTGTGTCAAGAGACGAAATTTATTGTCTTGAAGGACATAAATACCCTGTTTAAAAAGAAAAAAAAAGGGTTTTTTTTAGCTGAATGTGCAGTAATTTAGAATCAACATTTTATGTGAATACATTTGATTTGTAGGTATATCTTGTTTATCTCCTTCTTTTTCTTTGTTCTAGGCTGAAATATTAAATTTTACATTAAGGCATATGTGATTTAAATTAAAATTGTATTATATACTTGCAAGGAACATCAAACCAAAAGGTACTTAATTATGAGTTTACAACAAAACTCCTAGATAATATTATGATCTTGTGATCTTCCGGGCCGTTGCATGGGGCACTGAATAGATCTCTAAAAAATTTTTATGTAAATTTCTTCTTAGAAGAGTCCTTCTGGTGCTCAGAAACAATAGTTCCATACCAGAAAATCTTTGGCCATATATCAAATGCATACTGTTTTTTTTCATTCAAATCTCAGTCTTCATCTGGTATGCAATTCACTATTCTTATTCTCAAATTCAGTGGGAATCACCTTCCTTAAGAGTGGTACAAGTAACAACAACCAGCAAACAACAGAATTAAAAGTTTGGTGTTTTCTACATTACAAATTTGTGTAACAATAATAAATTATTATAATAAAAATATAATTAATTAATTAATTAATTGTGGACATAGTATAGCTTTATCTACATCTGTCATTTTAATTTCTTTATTAATGACTGTGCTACTTTGAAATTTCATAACCCTTGAACTTCAATGAAGGTTGTATATTCAATTAAGATCTTAAGCTCAATACTGCAGCTTTCTTTGAATTAAAAAAAAAAAAAAAAAACAGATTTCTAACGTAATAACTATCTGTTAGAGTTATTACTTGATAAACAGATCACTGAAAAATAAAACCTATTTTATTTGGCACAATCCTTGTACAAATCCTCTTCTTCATAATTGGACACAACAGGAAAATGGCCACAAGAAAACCAAGTCATCAATAGGAAAAAGCTTTTTTACTCTAGTAAAATGGCTCCTTAAGTTACTTTGATCTTGCTTTAAGAACTGTAACTGTTAATATAGGGAGGGACATGGACACAGCACAATGTCACCAACACACAAATTTGAGGTTTTTTTCAGCAGTTTCTTACACAAGTATGTTCACTAGAGTCTCAACTGCTGAAAACTAAATATTCTTCAAAATAAAAAATTACTTCAAGGTAGCCATTCTATTTAAACATATGTTAAAACAGCAATATCACTTTTTCACTAGTTTTCTAACACTTAGAGATACATAAAAATGTTCTTGTTTAAATGTTAATCAACTGTAACCATTACTTCCCTCTCTGTAACTGCAACAGTGCATAAGAAATTCAAAGCATTGAGTCTTTTCAAACAGGGTGGCCATAAAGACATTACCAACAATTATTACATTGTATTCTGAAGCTACCTGCTAAGATAAATATTACAAAAACCTGCTTTTTAAACAAAACAAAAAAAGAACATTTTGGGTTTCTTATCAGGTAATTAATTCCAGAGCAAGAAAAACAAAAAATGCAATAGCTACTCAAAACTCATATTGATTTTGTAAGTTAAATCTCATTCTACAGCATTAGTACCTGATGATTAGTCCTTAGGTTATCTATTTGTTTTTTGAATACAGTTGTCCAAAAATCTTTGCAAATGAACTTCATAATATCTAATTCATCCTTGAACCTGGCAGTATCTTTTGTAAACCTAAGAGATAAGTGAGATATGTATCAATAATGATGGTACACACATCACCAATTAAACAGAAAAAATATTTTTTTAAAAATGGTACTATGCAACATTATTTTTGAGGCTGTTACAGAAATCAGTTTTCCAACCATTGTACAGTATCATTCTAGCATCACTCTGCATTCAACAAGTATTTTAACTTAAGAGCAACACAGCATTATCTTAATACCCACAACATGACTGCAGAATAAGTTGTTTTAATTCCATGATTATTAAAGATGACTGACATACACAAAGATGCAAAGCACTCCATCAGTTTTATCTTCCATTAATTGTCTACACAGGAAATAAAACGCTCATACCTATACTACTGCTTGGAAAGAATCCTTTAGACATGCAAAAGAGCTCTAACACACAGGAACAAACATGTGAAACTTATAGGGACATCTTTCTCTTGCTTGTTTCAGATTTCTCTCCCTTTATCCTCCTTAAGGGCTTTTATCTGGCACTACAACACCGCTTTGTTCAATGAAAGCATTACTTCAGAAGACCAAGAGTCTCCACACGACCCTGGAACGAGGGCGATGAAGTTGCATCGCGGGTCCCCAAAGGGCCCGAGCAACCAAGGCGGCAACGAGCTCGGTCGCCAAGTTCCAAGGACTGGGAGAGCTTTGCAGAAACGAAACAGAGTGGCAGCCAAACATAAAGTTGTGCTTAAGAAGTAAATAAGAAAGAGAATAAGATCATGAAACGTACCAGAAGTAGAAAACATGCAAAAGTCTACACAAAGTGCAACTAAAGATGATTATAAGTATTAAAAGTAACCGTATACCCTGACTCGGTTTTCATGATGGGAAGCACTAGGCAAATCCATACTCCAAAACTGTGCTGTGATACTCAAACACAGGTGCCCATCAGAATGGGATTCCAATACAGAAGATGCCGGGAGCCGGAGGGACTCACCTCTCGATGAGCCCCTGCCCGACGCGGAAGCCCATGCTCTCCAGCTTGGTGGTGCAGCGCCCATTCTCCTGCAAGACACAATGCGCCGCCACCGCGTCAGCCCCGGCTGCTGCCAGGCGGCCCCGGCTCGGCCCCGGCCCCGGCCCCACTCACCCCTTCGCCCTGCTCGGCGGCGCGGTACAGCCCCGCCACCATCTCGCTGTGCAGCAGCAGGAACAGCGCCTCGTCCGCCATCACCACCGCGGGGCCTCCGCCCCTTCCGGGCGGGCCTGGACACCGCCGTAGCTCCCGGCCGAGGCGCGGCGGTCAGGCAGCGCGGCTGGGCCGGTTCTCCTTGCCAGGAAAGCGCTGGGAACGGGGCTCTCGCGTTACGGGTCTGCAGAGCCCACGGGCTCGGGCGGCTCCGGCCCCGCGACCGGAGCCGGCGGTAAACGCGCCGCCCCCTGCGGAGCTACTCCCGCCTGCCCTACTGCTGGCACCGAGTGGGGCGGGGCTGTGTCACTGCCCCCGGGGCAGCGCCCGTGCCTTCGTCTGCTTGCCGCGGGCAACCGGCAGCGGCGCCGACTGCTGCCGGGGAGCAGCGCGGTTCACAGCCGGGCCGCCGCCCCGGGCACCAGGAATAACGCCCAGCTGGGAGTTTCCCAGCCCCGGGCCGGGCCGTTCCTGCGGGCGGGAGCTGAGGGCGGGCGCGACTTCGGCCCCGGCCAACCCTCAGAAACGGCCCCACCTATTGGCTCGCCGCGCATGGCGGCGGTGATTGGCCCCGCCCGAGCCGCGCGCTGCCGGCCGTCCAGCCCCACTGAGAGAGGGAAGGCAGGCCGCGTACGGGTGGGCGGGAACGAACGTCCGCCGAGTGGCTCCCTGACTGGGCTGCAGGAAAATGACGCCCTGAGTCCTCATTGGCGCTGTGTGTGTCAGTCCGGCGGCACCTTTCACTGATTCGCGGAGCTTGCAGGCAGGGCCTTCCTCTAGTTGGGCGGTCTGGGTGCCAATCAGCCCTTGGGTCCTGTGATTGGTGAGCACCAGTAGAGATCCTTTCCCGCGGGGCGTGTCCTTTCCCTCCGTGCCCGATGATTGGTGCTCAGAGGGCGCCGCCGAGCCGCGATTGGCTGCGCCGGCCCGGCCCGCGGCAGCGAAGTGGGCGGGGCCCGTTCCCCCCCTGGTTTCCCAGCGGTGTCGCGCGCGGGGCCCAGGCAGGCCGCGCGGCGGGCGGGATGGCGGTGGCGGTGCGCGCGCTGCAGGAGCAGCTGGAGAAGGCCAAGGAGAGCCTCAAGCACGTGGACGAGAACATCCGCAAGCTCACGGGCCGGGACCCCAATGACGTGAGGTGAGGCCGGGGGCGCCGCTGACCCGCGGAGAGAGGAAGGGACGGGCGGGGTGCGCGGCGGGCCCGAGGCGCGGGCGGTGCGGAGCTGCCCGCGGGCCCCGCACTCTCTGCGGACCGGGCGTGGCGGCTGCTTTGCCCGCGGTGGGGTGAGCACCGCTAATAGTGGCCACCGTCTCTTGCAGGCCCCCCCAGAACAGGTTGTTAGCCCTCACAGGCCCCGGTGGAGGTAGAGGGCGCGGGAGCTTATTGCTGAGGTAAGGAGGTGCGCGACGGGGGGTTGGGTTTCCCCCACCCTTTCCCTGGCGGTGCTGCCCTTTTGCTTTGGTGTTGCCTGTTTCTCATTTGCCCCCGCTGCTCGCTGTACTGCTGTTTCAATGAGCACCAGAGCTGCCCGACAGGACTTCGGGGTTTAAATTTAAAGTGCTTTTTCGTTTTGAGTTACCACAAGTTTAAACTGGTGGCCTTCCCCAATCCTTTCATCTATTAGCTTTAAATGTAAGGGGGGTAAGTTCACATTTCAGGGGAGGAGTTGTATTTTGTCTGGGACCTTGTCTCTTTGAAGTTGTTCAAGATCAATCTAGTTGATAATTAAGAAACTGGCAGGTGCCCCAGGAGGAATGGAAAGAGTTGAAGTGGGTAGGAACTTTAAAATACATGTAGATAAAATCGCTAGTCTTTCATTGTGATTTTTCCTTATCTGTTTTTTATTTCTTCTTCTCTCTCCCCACTCCACTAAGTAGAATGAAAAAGATAGTTTTTGTTCAGCAATTCTTAATGCAGCATGTAGTGGATTTTTCATTGAAACTCAATATTAAGCCACTGGTTAAGGCTTAAAAAAACTAGAAAATTATTGCAGATATGATTATTTGAGCATGATGGGGTCCTTATTTCAGTGTAGCTACTCGTTAAGTGCAGAAATTCGAGGTGAAATTGGTTGGTCCACAAGCAGTATGTTTGAACACTTTATTGCAGTAGTAACAGTAAATTGGGATAGAACTGAGCAAAACTTTTGTGTGCATCATGACTGCAAAGCCAAAATACAGTTGAATTGTGCAGCCTTAAGGTGGCTCTGGGATTAACCTAACCTGTTCTGAATCACAAGTGTTTTCTTTTTAGGCGTGGATTCTCTGATAGTGGAGGAGGACCCCCAGCCAAACAGAGGGATCTTGAAGGTGCATCCAGTAGGTGGGTGCAAAAATTGATGCAGAGAACTTGCTTTTCAGAATAAGAATTTGTAACAGTAAATCGGTAACTGTTAATAGCTGATGACTTTCATTATCTTCTTTGGAGATTACATATTCAAGGCTCGTTGGAATTAATTTGGGTGATTTCAAATGACTGTGGTGAAATCTTTTTCATACCTTAGGGCAGTATAAAGATGGTAGCACTAATATAATGATGTAGCAATACAAAGACAAGTGGAATTTTCTGTTTTACTCGATGTACAATTTGCTGTATTCTGCTTAGTAGCCAGGTTGTCTACAGTAAACACAACTTGAATTATAATTGAAATCTCTTCAATAAACTGAACACAGGCAGTGTGACAGTGGACTCAGATTTTGAGCTTTCACGTCTGGATGCAGATCCATCAGATGTGACTGATAACAGTGAGCTGAAGTTCTGTGGGCACTTAACATGCAGTGGTAGTTCATGCCTAAAGCAAGGCTTGCTTTGGAATTTTTGAGTTAATGGAAAGTGAACACTGGAAGACAGGAAAGTGCTGTGCCACAAAGCTGAAATTTGGCTTTGGGCCATAAAGCCAAATAACTTCTATTTAAATTATTTATTTTATTTCTACTTTGTTTAAATTATTTATTTTAGGTTGTTTTTTTGTTAAAACCTTAGTTCATCCATGTTCTCAGATGCTAAGCCCTCTGCCCCTCCTCACTCGTTTTTTAGGTATTTGACTGAGTAACTTAAATAGCATTTCCCATTTGAGAAATCATACCAACCTTTCTACCTCAATGCATTTCAATCTGTCTAGTGATCCCTTTATACCGTAGCCATTTTAGAAGGTCAGCAAAAAGGAAAGTGCTAACACTGAAAACAAGAAATAAATTCCAAATGTATTCTACCATCTGAAATATGTTAGTGTAGTGGAATCTTGTGTTTTGCTTTGCTGTGTAGGTTGTATTAAAATTTAAACTATTTTGTCTCAGTGATTTTCACCTATAGTAGATTTTGTCTGTAAAATGTTATGTACTGGGGAGATTTTTACTGGAAGTGTTTGTTCTTCTGACTAGATAATGCTGACTTGTATTTTTCTCCTGTTAGAAGAGATGCTCTCCTAAATGACATTGTTCTGTAATGGCCACTAACAATTTTTGCTCCTCAGGCTGGGTGGAGAACGTCGGACAAGAAGAGAATCACGCCAAGAAAGCGACGCAGAGGATGACGATATTAAAAAGGTAATATATGATAAAAGGAGCTGTGCAGGAAGAAATTCACCTACAACGTGATGAACAAAGTAGTTTGCTTTTCTTTGTTGTAGCCAGCGTTGCCATCTTCTGTTGTTGCTACCTCCAAAGAGCGAACGCGTCGAGACCTTATACAAGATCAAAATATGGATGAGAAAGGAAAACAAAGGTACACAGAAATATCTAAACACTAACATGATACTTTTGAGTGCTAGCATAGGAAGTAGCTTTGGATTTAAAAAGTATAACACGCCGGCTGTTATGTATCAAAGATTATGTTGAAGAGTTACCGTAACAGTGTCAAATTTATTTTAAGGAATACTCTCTGAAAACACAGCGGTAACATGCACATTGTTAGGTTCAGGTAACTGACAGGGAATTCTACTTCTCAGGCCCCCTATAGGAACAGGTTTGCTAATGCTGTTGTAACATTGCCTTTGAATAAAACAGAAATATATTTAGCTTCATTGGTCCATTAACTTTTTGGACTGTTACAGCTGTCTTGGTTCATCATTCATTTTGTTGGTTGAGGGAGGCTTTTGGGTGTATGTTCCTCTCCTCCCCCGCTTTTTTCTAAAACACAGTTCCATCGTGGGGTTTTTTGTGTGTTCTGTCTGACCTTCATTTTTACCTGCTGCTTTTTAGATTTCTCCTACGTATATCTTCTTTTTCCTATATTTTATTTATCTCAGGGTAGCTTATTAAAATTCTTGCTGAAATGTAGTTCTGTTTGTAAGAAGTGTTGGAAAAACAAATTTGCAACCGTGTCCAAACTCCTTAGACTCAATCCACTTCAGACTGCAAGTCGCCTAGTGCAATAATCTGTACCTCAAATAAATAGAAGAATGAAAACTGGAATAAGGATCTATGGAAGGTTTCTCTGATAAGGCCCGCAAATCAACTGGTACAGAAAACTGGCACTTTGCTCCCTTCTTTTAATTATCACACCACTAATGGTCTGCTCTTGCTTCCGTTACCAGTTTCCAACTGCTTCCCTCACAAGAAGACTTTCAAAATTCTTAGTGAACTCCCTAGAGCTTCAAGCACTAAACGTTTGTTCCCTCAGAACTGTAGTTTTACTGTTATTCACTTCAGTAGTCTCAGGGGAGATGAGAAAACCAGTATTGGTCTCTGTATGACTTGTGGTGGAAAGAGGTTCTTTAAGAGGACAGCATTCTCTGAACTCCTGATTTTGCACAGTGTCTTGTGGGATGTCATTCATGTACAAATGCACTTTGAGTGATCTTTGGCTTTCAATTCTTTACTTGTTCCTGTTTCTACTTTTTAATATCCAAGTCCTTTTACGTTTCCATGTCAGGTTTGTGCCACTGTAGTGGAGTGGTGCTTAGCGAAGACAGTAGCATTTTCTTTCTCTCTTAATCAGGAAAAAGTTCAAGGCAAATAAGAGAGTCTGCCTCTTGTTATATAGATTTAATTTGGGATTAAATAGAAAGAAAGAAAAGGTGAAGTCAAGAATCCAGTTCTTGTTTTGAAGAAGGGAATTTGCTGAAGAATTTTACTTTTCTCAAAACAACACCTAGTTCGATGAGAGCACTGGCTTCATCCCACAGTGCAGTGTCTCATTGTTAGGCAACTGTGATAGATAAGCTTTCACTCCCCTTTGGCTCCATTTCTTCTTAATCCTGTAAACAGGTTGTGGACCAGGTAGTTAATTTTTTCAGAAAGTCCAATGACTTTCCAGTTTG